CGGATTTGTCACGTTAGGTCTCTTCCTTCACTCTCTGGCCCACGTCACAATTTCTGAATGCATCTTGGACACAGCAAGCGCCTGTTCCACTCCGCGGCTCTCCCGGAATACCCCCACCCTCATTTCTCTGAGAGCGATCATTTCCTAGGGCACACCTCTCTGCCGGGATGGGAGACCCAAGTGCCCTGTGCAACAGCTCCAGGAGGGCTGACAGATAAGAAGGGAAAAATTCTTTTTTCGGATATGGTTACTTGTAGCGCCTTCCGGAGAAGTGCCTTCTGGAGAAATGTCTTGGACTAATAAGCATCTTTATTCAAAAGAACCGTGACATTTATAATCAGGATAAATGAAATAAGGGGAAAAGCCTTGGACCCTTGGAAGAATAGGGTGGTTTAAATTCAAACCAGTAATTATTATATTTTTTTCCATTCTGTATTATTTAGGAAAACAGTGGTTAAACAGATAAAAATAGAAAAGATTGCTTAAAAATTAAAGCCATTGATTTAGATCTCTATTTGAAAGGTCAGTGTGTGGGAGACGAGGAAGGCATTATAGCAATCAGTGTTCAGCAAAAGACATTTTAGCAGCAGAACCTCCAAAAAGCACATCAACTATTTGTATCACTCACATCAAGTTGGTCATTTCATTTACCAAAGAAAATAAGAAAGCTATTTTCTTTGGACATCCTTTGGGTGTAGTAACAATATAGTTTTGGAATCAACTGTTAGAAACTATAATTAAAGCTGGTTTATCGTGTTTACTAATTATTCTGCATAGTTAGCCTCCCCGAAGCTTTATATAATTCCCCCTTTGTTACAAGCTTCTGTTTCTCCCTAGGGCCGTCTGAATCCAGACAGGTAAAGGACTGAAGTGCCTGGAAACCAATGTCTTGTAATACCTGTACGGCCAAGCAGATGTCCGCAGTTGAAGTTGAAATTTTAAACCACCTGTACGCCAGGTAGAGTCAGCTATTTAAGAGTTTTCAGCTCTACCACTTGGGTAAGGGGATCCCCTGAGTACAGGACGATGTGAAGGGAAACAAAAATCGAAAACTGAAATTTCCTTGAGGAACCTATGTGACACTGGGCGGGGGGGGGGGGGGGCGGCGGTGTTAATTCAGTTAATTCCTGATAACTACCTGCTCTTACTGTCTGGCTGACCAAATGTCTGTCGACACCAGTGATCCTTTGGTTCAGTGCTGGGGAGGAGGGGGGCTCATGTTCAGAGAAGCAGCGAAACTCCTGTCCCGTTTTCCTCCCCCTGCCAGCGGGAGTGCTGTGGGCCAACCTCCTAGGCCCGCGCTTCAGTGCCGGGGGGCGCGCCCTCCCCGCCCCCCGAAGAACTCTGTGCCAGGGGAATGAAAAAGCATCCTCTCTCCTCGCCTCCAACGCGCAGCACTGGGCCCATTTCCTCCCGGGGAAGTGGATTTCAGAGCATCGCAGACTCCTCCCCAGGTAGGGCAGGCTCCCGGGGAGGGGCAGGGGAGGGCGTACTAATGGCAGGGACCCTGGGACGGGATCAGCGACCTGAGAAACACGGGTGCGAAGTTTTACCTTCCGCAGCCGACCTCCCTTCCTTTAACCTGCTCTTCATCTCCCATCCCCCACCAGGTAGCAGCATTTGCTACTCGGTGGAGCACAGCTCAGCTCCCGAACCATGCAATCCGGTGGAACAGCTGGAGAGCAGGGAGTCCCGGTTTAGTTGTGAAACAAGGCAGTCTCTGGCTCACCCTCGGCTGTGCACACGGGGCTTTCATTTCTGGAAACCAGACGGAGCCCTTCTCCTACTCTTTCCAGACCCCCCCCCCCACCTGCTACGCTTTTCTACGTGCGGACTCTCCCTCCCCCACGCTGACCCGGGCCCGCACACACGCGGCCTCCGACCAACACCGACTGCGAGGATCCCGCAGGTGGCGAACTCCTGCGGCGCTCCCCTGAAAGGAGGCCGCACACGAGTGCAAAGTGTCAGGGAGCCGGGGCCATCCGAGGAACGCTGTGAACACGCCAGCACCCCAGGCGTAGCGAGCAGTCGCGGCCCCGGGGGACGGCCCCGGCCTCCCGCAAGCCGGCGTGGGGCTCCGGTCTCCTGGGCTGCCTGGAGCACGGTGCGCCGGGGACAGCCGCTCCGGACGGCCGCTGCGTCCTGGCGGACCTTCCCGGGCAGCCCGTCACTTCCCTGCCCTTCACTCGCGGGTCGATCCATCCTCGCAGCCTAACCGGACACACAACGCGGTCGGCGCCTCAGCCCCGCCCCCAGCCCCTCTCCTCTGGGCTCCACCGGCCCGCTGGGTGGTGCTTCCCGAGCAGGGCAACGGGCGCGGCGCCCCTCGGCCGGCGTGGATGGGAGCGGCCGGGGCTCAGGCGCGGAGCGCACGGCGCGGCGGCGGGGCCCGCGCGGCCCCCGAGGCCAGGCCCGCCCGCCCGCCCGCCCGGGTCGTCGCGCACTTGGCAGGTCTGTGGCGGCGCACGGCCGGGGCCGAACCCTCCGAGCAGCGGGGCCCGCGGGGCCCGCAGCGAGGCGCATCCGACAGTCCCCGGGCCCGGGCGCAGCCGCCGCAGGGCAGCGCAGCCGCCGCAGGGCGAGGCCGGCCCCGGCTCTGCAGCCACCGGCCCCGGCTGTCCGGCCGCCCGGGAAGCACGCGAGCGCGCCGGGGCCGCGGGGGGGCACGTGCGTGGACGCGGGTGCTTGTGTAACCAGCTCCCCCGGCGCCGCGCCCGCCCTCCCGCCGCTCGCCGGCCCATCGCCGCCGCTCGCCGGCCGCCCCCGACCCTCCTCGGGGACTGGGAATTTGGAAAGTTCCCCAACTAGGGGCACACGTGACCGCCCCTGAAAGTAGTCCCGGCCGCGGCCCGCGGAGCCCTCCGCCGCCCCTCGAAGCCTCTCGGCCCCGCCCACCCGCCGGGCCGGCGCTCCCTCCCGGCCCGGACTCCTGGCTCGGGCCCGGGGCGCAGCCCGACGCGCGGAGCGCCGCCGCCGGCCCGCGGCGATCCAGCCGGCCGGGTTTTCGCGGCGGCCCGCGGGGGGCGGGGCCAGGCGGCCCCGGAGCCCGGAGCCCGGAGCCCGGAGCCCGGAGCCCGGAGCCCGGAGCCCGGAGCCCGGCCCCGCGCGGAGCGGGAAGCAGGCGCCCCGAGGGGAGGATCCCGTCCCTGGGGTCCTGGGCCCGCGGCGGCCGGGGGTGGGGCGGCGGGAGCGAGCCGGGGGCGGGGACACGCGCGGAGACACAATGGGGGGTGTTCCTCGGCGTCAGCCGACACGCGGGGGCACAATGGGGGTGTTCCTCGTGCTCACGGCGACACGCGGGGAACGGACACGCGGGGGGCACAATGTGGGTTTTCCTTGTGCTCACACCAGCGCGGGAGGGGCGGGGGGAACAGACACACGGGGGTTGGACACGCGTGGGGACACAGTGGGGGTGCCCCTCGTGGTCACACCGACACGCGGGGAGCAGGCACGGGGGGAATGGACACGCGAGGCAATAGTGGGGGTGTTCCTCGTGCTCAGACACGGGGAACACGGGGAGACACGCGAGGGACGGACACGCGGGGAGCGGACACGCGGGGAGCGGACACGCGGGGGCACACGGGGCGGACACAGGACGCTGCGGGCGGGAGAGGGGCGCCCCGAGTCCGCTGGCCCCGCCTGCGCCCCCCCTGCGCCCCCCGGTGCGCGGCGACCTCGGACTCGGGTCCGCGACGCCCCCGCCCGCCGCTGCAGGAGCGGCCGCGGCAAGTGCAGCTCCGGGGGCCGCTCGCACTGGGCATGCTCGGCGGTCGCACCCCCGCCCCCCTCTCCGGCCCCCCCCCCGCCTCTCCCCTCGCCCCCGCCCCCCGCCCCCCGACCTCCCCCCGAGCTCCCGGGCGCCGGGCTCGCGGCGGCGGCGGCGGCGGCGGCGGCGGGCGGGGGCGGGGGCGGGGGCGGGGGCGGCGGTGATGTGGCGGGACTCTTTGTGCGCCGCGGCAGGATACGCGGCGGGGCGGGCGTGCGCGCTGCTCGGCGGACTCGTCTCGGAAGCTGCAGCCATGATGGAAGTTTGAGAGTTGCGCCGCGGAGAGGCGAGGCCGCGCTCAGGGAGGGAGATGAGAGACGGCGGCGGCCGCGGCCCAGAGCCCCTCTCAGCGCCCGTGAGCAGCCGCGGGGGCAGCGCCCTCGGGGAGCCGGCCGGCCGGCGGCGGCGGCAGCGGCGGGCGGCCCGCCCTCGGCCTCGGCCTCGGCCTCGCGCTCGCGCTCGCCCCCCCGCCCGCGCCCGCCCGCGCCCCCGCCCTCGCGCCCGCCCGCGCGCGCCCGCGCCCGTCCGCGCCCGCGCCCGCGCCCGCCCGCGCCCCCGCCCGCGCCCCCGCGCCCGCGTCTAGCCGTGCTCCCGTCGCTCGGCGCCCCGCGCGGGGGACCGTGGAAGCCGCGGGCCCGGCCGGGCGGCGGCGGCTCCGGGGAGGGGGCCGCGGCCGCCGGCGCCCCGCTGCCCCCCCCGCTCCCGCCCGCACCACGGCGGCGGCGGCGGCGGCGCGCGCAGGGCCCCGGGCCGCCCGAGAGCCTGCCCCCCGCCGCCGCCCGGCCGCCCGGCCCCCCGGCGCCGCCCCGGCCCGCGGCCGCCATCCCGCCTGAGCGCGCGCAGGCCCCGCCGCCGACGCCCGCCCCGGCCGCGCGAGGGCCGCCCGCCGCCAGGCCCGGGGCCGCCTGCAGCCTGCGGAGGAGGCCGCGCCGCCCGCCGCTCCTGCCGTCTCTCTCCTCCTTCCTCTCCAGCCACCGGCTCCCAGACATGACAGCCATCATCAAGGAGATCGTCAGCAGAAACAAAAGGCGCTACCAGGAGGATGGGTTCGACTTGGACTTGACCTGTATCCCTTTCCGCGCGGCCGCGGGCCCCCCGGGACCCCGGACCCCGACCCCGACCCCGGCCTCCCCGGCCTCCCCGGCCCGGCCTCCGACCTCGGCCTCGGGGCTCCGGCCCGGCCTCCGGCCCCGGCCCCGGCCCCTCCGCCCCGGCCCCTCCGCCCCGGCCGCGGCTGGCTGTCGGGCAGCGGCGGGTCCCGGCCCTGCGCGCGCCCGGCCCCTCCGAAGGGCCATTGTCCGCTCCCGCAGGACACGGTGCCCCGTCGGCGGACCCCGGAGCCGGAACCCGGGCTGCCCAACGCGCGGAGGGGACGCGGCGCCCGGACTCCGAGGTCGAGCACATTTCGGTCACATCTTGGCTTTAGGCCCCTAGATCGACGGCATAGATTAGATTAAAATGAAAATTAGCGTTGCACGTATGCAGATTGCATCAGAATCTCGCAGTGATTTAGTTTCCTGGGTTGGTTGCATTGATAGACTCTTTTTTTTTTTTAATTTGTAATGGGAGTTGTGAGCTGATTTGCATAACTTTGGAAGCAGAATCGTTGTCAGCACACGGGGCGTTCGTTGGAGGGCACAAAAAGTAGGTTCGTATGTGTTCAAGCCGAGTTGAATTACAACCTGGAACTGCCTCTCCCAAGTTGTGTAGTTTGCGATCAACAGTGTCACAGGTAACAGACGTCCTAAGCCGCTCTTGCTGCTCGGTCTTTCTGAAATTTGCCTCCCCCCCCCCCCTTTCCTTGATGGGGTGATCCAGGACAGGGCATGAGATTTTGCAGCTCAGCCGCATTTTATGTTCAGTGGTCTTGTCTCACGTAGCAGAATGGGGATTAACTGCTTCTTGATTGCGGAGGAGCGTGTTGTGTGGGTTCTGGGGTATTGTGTGCAGCAAATCGTGATTGCAGACATGAAGCTTCAGTTCTTCCTTGAAATACAAGTGTCACTGCGACTCCAGAACTGGTGCTCACCTCATCCAGCTTTCAGGACTCCTGACACCTCGTGATGTCCGTTAATTGCACTCGGGCTCGGGTGTAAGGTCAGGTGTAATTTACCAGCTAATCACCAGCAACGCAGGCAAGAGCTGATCACTCCAGCTTCGCATGGTGTAGGTATGTTAGCTGTTTTTCCACACAGTGTCTTAAATTTACTGACTCAGGTTGTTGAATGACATAGAAACCCAAGAATTTTTCACAGGAGTATCGTTTCGGTTGCCTAAAAGTTAGGCCTTTGTACCTGAAAAGATAGCGGTTATTGAAAGGCATTGATCTTGGCAGTTTCAGGTATAATGAACTGGTTTTGATCAAGAGTTGGGGCAGAGAGTCCTCCTTTTTTTTTTTTTTTTTTTTTTCAGAATGGAAAGTATCACAGACGTTCAGCGTTCCTGCTTAGGCCAGTGTCTAAGGCATGAAAACAGAATTGACTTGTGGGTCTGAGATGCCCGCAGCATCTTATTAACAAGGCCTCTGTTAAGGCCAGAAGTTTGGTGATGTGAATTATGACAGTGGACGGTATTTAGTTCAAACGCGATTGCATCTGTTGTTACTGGAGGATTCTTAATAAAGCTCGTTTTTAGCCAACACCAGTAAACATTTTGCCTAAAGGTGGAGTGGCGCTGAAGGATCCATATGTCCTGCTAAACACTGTGGGGAGGATTTGGTTTTTGAAGAAAATGCTTTACATCTGAAGAGGTTTTTTTTTTTCTATATTCCCTTTGGATTACATAGCAGCACATAAACGTGCACAGCTAATTCTACCCAAGTGTCTGTTTTGAGATGAAGGTAAAAGTCACCGAAGAAGGAGCTTTCTAGCACACAAAACGTAAGTTTTCTGTTAATTAAAAAATTATGTATTAGAAGAATATTTAGAAGTTTTGGAGTCTGCATTGATTGCAACACTGGTCAGGCTGAACTTGACCCGCTTGCCTAGAAAGTGACCAGTTGCCGGAAAACTTCTGATTTGTAATTTATTTCAAAAGCAATCTAGCGTTAGTGTGAACTGACAGCCGTCTGGGTGTATAGGAACAAATTGATTACACGTTTCTTTGACTTTTTAGGAAAAATCCCCGTGCAAAAACCAATGTCTGTGGATGCTGTTTGGTAGATTGCTTTTATCATTCAGAGTAGGTTTATTTTTACGTTACCCATTTGCTCTAAAATAGGGCTTTAAGATTCAGATCGTTCTGCAGGGTTCTTAACACAGGAGTCCTGAGCTGGTTGGCCAGCTCACCTTTGACTTCACAGGTGTGTGCCTCCATACCTCCATACCAAATTTATGTGACTTTAAAGACTGTTACTAGAACAGTACTTTTAGTTAGGGTGTGCATAGAAAGCAGTGTCAGACGCTGCGTCAAATGACTAATAACACTTGATTTCTAGAGTTGTGGTTTTATTGAGCCAAATATTGATATGAAAAAAAAATCATTTAGGAAAAAGTCCGTGAAGGGCTCTTTTTTTTTTTTTTGTTGTTAGTTGGACTTTCAATAATTTTGATAACACCAGTGCACTTTGGTTTGCTTGGTTTCGCTTTAGTGTTCTCTGTGTATTGTGGGGGGAAATTAAGGTGGCCATTGAGGACTTTGGCAGGTTGTAGTGTCTGTTTCAGCAGCTAGCCTGTGAGAAGTTACGTTCCCTTATGAGAGTAGTGATTGGAGCATTTCTATCTGATAAGAAAGATGAAGAACGTAGTGATTTCTCAGAGGAAAACTGAAGACGATTATTTGCAAAATTGAGTTGTCCTAAAAATAATTTGTTAACATCTGACTGTTAGTCTGGAAAATGGTGGTGACCATTAGACTGTAAAAAAAATTTTAGTGTCTTTAGATTTCATGGGAACTTTAGGCTCCGTTTGTATGTATTTTTACATCTTGATAAGTTTGCGTCTTTTCAAATATTAACCATAGGGAGTATTTTTAACTTGTAGAGGGTAACAGTGACTATGGAAGTTAACTATATTATCTTTTAAGATCAGTGATTACTGAAGTGACCGTATTGTGAGGTGTTTTTTTGTTTTGTTTGTTTTTTTAAGATTCTATTCACAGTTTTTATTTTACACTGTTTTGTATCTGCTAAGTTGTATTTCTTTTCCGAGCAACATGACTGGGCATCCTGATCGCTGTGTAACAGTTTACAAAAACTTCATTTTCATAAAGATTGTTCAAGAATAGAGCACATCTAAAAGAATAATTTACAGTTTGTATGACTTTGTATAAGGAAAAAGGAATTTTATTGCTGTCCATTGTAAAAGTTTGCACAGGAGTACAACCATCAGTACAGATTTACATTGCTTATCATACACTAAATGAATAATAGATGAATAAGTGTCATAAAATATGGTGAGGTATAACCACCGTAGTTTTACATTTATTTTTAGAGAGTATAGAAAAAGATGCATTGGTGTTCCTTACCTTTTAGAATTTTACTTTAACACGAGAAAGGCGGCTATAGATATTTTAGTTTTTATGTGGGACAGTGTATCTGCTTTTTCCTAATAACCGCTGAAATAAAATACACAAACTTCTTAATGTTCGAGATTTCCTTGGTTTTTAGAAGTGAAATCTCCAATTCTTATTTTCACATGTTCTCATTTTGAGAGTTGCCCCATTTGCTGTTTATTTGTGTGGTGATAGCTTAGTACTTTTTAATATAAAGCCACTTAAGTAATCATTTCAGTGACTTTTAATGAAGGAATATTTATTATGGGAAAATCAGTGCACAAAGTTTCAACATTAATTCACTCTCAGTAAACATTGTACTGTAAAGTTTTGACCTCAGCCTTTTTAGGAAGACAGATGTGTAGGAAATGTTTTTATACTACAATAATGTATGTGAAATGGAATTTGTAAAGAGAGATTCAGAAGTGTGCATGCATATGATAGTTTCTCACTTCCTTGGAATGTTTGGGCTTGGTCATGGTACAAGGAAGCATCTAGCTTCCAGAAGCTATGTTATTAATTATCATGTAAAACATTTCTTTGATATCATTTTTTTTCCCCCTTTAGAGACCATGAGTTCTTAAGTTCTATTTCTATTTTGTAGAGACCTCACTCTTACCTTTTTTCGCCCTCTCTGTTTTTGTTAGGTAAACTTTGATTTTAAGTGAGGTCAGCATTGGAGAATTCTTTTGGTGACCTGAATTCTTTGAGAAAATGTGTTAGAATTTGTTCTAAGGATGGAGAGACTTAAGACATTTGTATCAACGTCTGAGATAGGGGTCAGTAATGATTTCAGTAAATATTCAGTTTTACAGTGGCTTTCTGTCTGGTAGCTTTGAAATGAATGCATTTGCTATCAGAGCTGTCAATGATGTTGAGGTTAGACTGCATAACCTTAAGTTCGTAAGGATTTGCTGAGCAAACTGATATCCTTAATTGTTTTATAAAGGCCACTTACTGCCACATGCATTCTTTGCTGGGTGGTCTGTCAATATGATTGCTTTTCTAAGCACTGGATATCTGCACCCACTAATGGACAATAGTTTCCTTTGTCAGGAAAGGTAAAGTTAGCATATTGGATTAGACTCTTCACCTAGCCTCTAAGTTTTTGCAATTTTTTTCACTGGTTACAGAAAAGGTATTAGCAATCTGGTTCTTTACAAGTAATTTGCGCTGGAATAAAGGCTGTTGGGAAACATAATAATATAAGAAGAACAAACATCACTTAGGCGTGAATTAGTTTTAGAGGGGATATTTCAGTTCAGTATAGTTAGGGCATATTCTCTTTATTTGCAGCAGTTTGCATTTAACAGGCAGGTGGACGTCTTCAGGGTGTCAGGGTATACACTTGGTTGTACTGAGAATACTGACTAGTGGATATGTGTTGCTACACCCGACAGCACACAGTGTGCACGTGGTGTGGAAAGGAAGACTGTTGATGTATCATATTTTAGGTGGTTATGCACTTTGATTGTCATCAATAGTCATCACTTCAGATATGGACAGTGGATCTGCCATAAATGTTTGAATATTCTGTGTAGATGTGTAAGTAGGTACAAAGTTAGCAAACTCGTAATATTTCTAAAAAATGAGGCTACTTTGGTTGATACTGTTTTATCATTTTCACATAAGGTTACATTTATTTTAAATTACATTAAAATATTGACCATTAATTTTATCTACACGTTGTGTGTACATTGTTTCATTTTAGATGTTAGGGTGGTAGTGTAGGTCCTGGAGCCAGCCAGACTGGCCTGTGTTGGAACCCTGGCTCTCCCGCATAGCAGCTGGGTGACTTTGGGTAGGTTGCTTAGCCTTTCTCAAACTGTTTCATCTGTAAAATTTGTCTTAAAGAATAAAGGAGATAATATGAGTAATTCACTTAGCATACTACCTGCCACATTGTAAATACTTACATGGTAACAGCTGCTCTTAAGAATTATAATTTCAGGGATCCCTGGGTGGCGCAGCAGTTTGGCGCCTGCCTTTGGCCCAGGGCGCGATCCTGGAGACCCGGGATCGAATCCCACGTCGGGTTCCCAGTGCATGGGGCCTGCTTTTCTCTCTGCCTGTGTCTCTGCCTCTCTCTCTCTCTCTGTGTGACTATCATAAATAAAAAAGAAAAAAAAAAAAGAAAAAAAAAGAATTAGAATTTCAGATTACCCATATAGGAGAAATTATTTGTATTTTCATTTATGAGAGCAGTGATTGTAACTGAATTTCCTCAGTTTTAGACATGTTAGAATTTTCACTGGGCCAAATTACGAGTATTTTTTGAAATATGGGTATTCCTTTAGGAGTTCTAAGTCGTAGGTGTCTGTGACTTGATTGTTTCATCACATTGGAATATAAAGGTCTGTTCATTCATACTGTTGACCAGAGGCAAGTTAATCATGCTAATCAAAAAGTGTTTGCTTTGAGATACTGAGGTAAGATGAAAACTTACTGTTATTATTGCATAATGAAGTAGACGTTTTAAAATAAATTTGTTATGAATTTTTTTTTTTTTTTAGTGTCAGAGATAGGTCAACTTCTATATTTTATTCACAAGGTAATCTTCTCAAAAAAACTTTTAATGTAGAATACAGAAGTAATGTACACAGTTTACCCATAAAGGCGTGTGAGCATTTCTTTTTAAGTTCATTTTTGGTTGGGAGAGGCATGCAACTTTGAGTGCTAAGTTAGATTTATTACAGCACAATTTACACTTAATGTAATCCAACAATGCATTCATATAATTTAGGAATTTTAATTTCGTGTTAAACCTTTGTATTATTGCATCACATTTTCACATTTGATCAAGAGTATCAATATAATATTAGGCCTTGGAAACGGGAAGAAAACTAAGGGGCCTTTTTTCTTCTTCATTGATTCTCGCCAGGGGAGGAAGGATGGAAGAAGCTTGAGACCTACCTGCTAAAGGTCATTTTGTGTGCATAGGGATGGTTCTTTTTTTTTTTTTTTCCTTTGCTGGTATCCCAATACTATCAGTAGTAAAGCATTTGCTTTCCAATGAGGTTTTTTTGCTTATTTGTTTTGCGTTGCAGAATGAATGGTGCTCTGTCTCATTATCTATGACTATTTGATGATGTGATTTTTATATATTATGTATCATATAAACTAGCTGTATCTTTGGTCTAAGTCTTGATAGTAGAATTGGACATTTTGACATCTTAGAGGACAGTTGAGTTGTCTGAAACTCTTGTGCCACATGCCATCTATGTTTTGCTTTATGTCACTACCCAAAACTTAGAGTTGATTTAATATTTTTAAGACTCTTTAGGATAGTTTCGAATTTTATTTCCTTTGATTTTTGTAGATTTTCAGGCTAAAATACCAGGTTTTGTTCTTTACTATTAATTGCAAGGATTGCATTCTGCCAATTTTA